TACCCCAATCCTGGTTTAACAAAAAATAAATAAATAAATCACTCTCCTCTGACATATGTAACTGCTGCACAGGCAAACTGAATCTGATGTCTTTGATTGATCCATGTCTCACTCTCTGGCTCTCAGTTCTCCCTCTACTTGTCCATCCTTTTGTGTCAGTCACTGTCTTGAAGTCTTTATAATGCTTCAGTCAGTCTGTCTCTTTTCACACCATCACAGAGATTCATACTTTTTGCTGAGGTCTCACCTGCCTTTCCCATCTTTCCTTGTCAGTATGAACAATATTAATATGATCTATGATATATTTTGATTTTGTTTCTTCTGTATCACAGGTAAGATGTATTTAAGCTAGATGAGATCACTGAAAAGCAAGCACACACTGGAACTGCAGTTAGTTGACTGACAAAAAATTAACATCACAATAAACTGAATATCTGTTGGTTTTGGCCAAATAATAAAATACTTTTATAAAATACCTTGAGCACTAGAAAATCAGGATCAGCATTTTTAGTTTTTACTCTTTTGTAGATCAAGTGATTAATATAATCTTCAAATTAATCAGTAGTTGTTACTGTAGCTCTATCACACACACTCACATGCTTCAGTGCAGCATATCTGTGACAGCATCTTGATCCACGATAAGGACCATAAAAGTCAACACATAAAGGTCAAAGGTATATTTGTGATACAAATGTCACTCATGATACATGTGCCATTCACAGAGATGACCACCTTAGCCTACTCCTTTCTAGCTCTTACAGACACATTCAGTGCTAACAAAGCATGTGTGACATGAAACCGCTCTGCAGTGGATGCCATGTTCCTGACAGCACATCTCTTGTTGTCTTATCTAGGGTGATGATGCTGCACTGAATTCAAATGCAACCGCACCTGATATATTATCTTGGAGACCCGCACACACACACACACTTGCACACACAATTGATTTGCGTAATCAGTGACTTTCATGTACCTGTCACTATTTGTCTCTCAGCTCCTGGTTGTCATGTAGGTTGCACTTTAGTGATAATGAATCTGTCTCGTTCAGGCACTCTAAAGATGTTTTGCTCTGTTGAAAGGAAATGTCTTTTTCCAAAGTCATTCTAAAGGTAGTCTAACCATTTCTTGAAAACACACACACACACACACTAGCTCTGACCAGTTACATTCCTCTAGGTCTCTGTTAGTATAAGTGGTAATTGGAACCACATTGTACATTTGACCTCAAGAGGCAGCTGGGTCCATTAGAGAATGTGTGTGTCTTGACGGTGGTGGTGGTGGTGGGGTATCTGAGTGACAGCCGGTCAGTGCTGGGTTTCACACAAAGAAGGAGAGAAAAGTGGAGAAGGAGAAGTGAGGGGGAGAAGTGAAGGGAAGATAGATAAAGGAGGGAAGAAAGATGCGAGAAACATGCTGTGGTTTGTTTCTGAGGAGGGAAAAGGGATCAGAGGTGTGTGGGGACAAGGGAGAGATATAAATGCAATGATAAGAAGAGGTAGTCTCTAATGAGGTGCTCTTTAATGGTCCCGCTTATGGGATTAGGTTTGTTCTAGCCAGTGAGAGACAGAGTTTGTGTGTATTATTAGTTGATGCTCTTGGCTACAATTTCTAGCTTCAGTTCTTTAGCACACATATTTTGGGGTATTTTATTTTTGTGTGTGGGTGGTACAGTATGAGTTCTCTGTTATTTAGTGTGTGTTTGTGGACTCCAGTTTTTACACAAAGCAAAATCTTGCATACAAGGAGTTCCCTACTCTCCTCTATTATTTACAATTCTCTTTCCTTCTCTCCAGCAATTACCCTACATCTTGCTCCCGCCCTCCTTGTCTGGACCACCACCGCTGCACTGTTTATCCTCAGTGATGTGTCTGTCCAGCTTGTTTTCCAAGTGTCTGTTCTCCTCAATAAGCTTATCAGTCTTTTTCAGAGTCAGTGTCGGTATCTATGGATTTCCACTTTAAACAACCTCCATATTTTATTATGTTTTTATCACATTTCGAACTTGTGGGGTTTTGTTTGTTTCCTCTCAGATATTCGTGGGGAATCTTCTTCCCTCAAGGCATTTTGGTCTGGCTGTGTGCAGCACAGCAATGTGTGTCAGTCTGCCACCTGCTGGGGGACCAGGCAACTGCAGCGTAACACTGACGGGTCAAAACCCTTTTAACATAAACAGAACATTAAAGCTTTAAAGAATGGCAGAGTTATTGCACAGCTTTTCTATTAAACTGCCATAGTTTTAGGCAAGTGTACCCATTAAACTAGCAAATATTATTGGTTTATAGTTATTCATGTATTCATGTGTACATAAAGTTGCAGCTGATAAAGGGGGGGGGGGGTATACTGTTGTTTAGCTTGTGAATTCCACCACAGAACAATAAAGTCTTGTCTTACCTTAACCTATCATAGCACATATATAACAATAATTTGTGATTCTTTGGCCATATTTTGTATTAATAATCTAAATCTGAGTCCAGCTCTGCTCTCTGTCCAATTCCGTGGTTTTCAGAAAGGAACAGGTATGAACCCCTTGAAACAATTGCATACAATCTTAGAAACAGAATATATCACCTGCATTATGATTTGGCAGCTTTATTTGAATTCAATTGAGATGTTACCTATGTCAGTGGAGGAATTGTTACTTAAAAACCATCTTTGTCTAACTTTGTATAATCCTTTCTTGTGTTTTGGGGACTAGGGTGACAATGGAACAGTGCGTGTTATTTGTTTACTTGGTGTATTTTATTCAAATTGAAGCCTGAAAATAAAATATTTGTATGCATTTGCATTAGAATTTGAAGCGCCAGATAGAACAGACATAATTTGCTTTATACAGTTTACCCTGCCATCCATTCTGTGTTTTGTGCCTTTAAAATGCACTTGGTTGGGTGTGAATAAGTAAAAATGTTAGCTTCCAACTTTTCCTTATTTGAAAAAATGACTGTGTCCAGGGAGAGAGAGAGAATATACCTTTGTATGAACCGGAAATGAGCTAAGATCAGGATATTAAGTCTGAGTGCAGAGGTATTACAAGCAGGTCCTGACTCACATGAGCTGTGCAAGGAGGGGAGGGGGCAGCAGAAAGAAAGTTGGAAAGGGAAATAAAAGTGCAGCATATGGAAGCCAGGCAGACATGGAGAGAGGGGGAAAAGAAAAGGTTTGGCTGCATTCCAGGCTTCCTGGCTCTGATACTGATGTCCTCCTGGTTTTTATTATTTATTTATTGCCATACCTCCAGACTGACTGGACCCTAGAGCTGCCTTTTCAGTGCCTGATCCAAACTTTCTAAGCTGCAGTCACAATGGCACAACCCAATGCATCTGGCTGAAAACGGGCAGAAGAGCATTGCATATACAGTATTTCACTTCAGCATCCTTACTCTCCGCACAGGTCAAACAGAAAGAAAGCTCATGGAGCAAATGGAAATTGTAATGACAAACGTGGACCTCTCCTTGCATTAGTACGTCACCGGCAGCCAGGATGGTATGCACATTTTTTTGTCTGCACAGCAGCAGAGTCGCTGTGGAAAACTCTGAGTGGAAATTCAACTCAATTTTGTGCTGGTGGAAATGGGGAGAGACTGGAAACATTCCTTATGGGACAATAGGCAAACAAAGACCCCAGTGACCACTCCCTGTAGTTCACAGACATGAATCAGGCAATAGCAGGTCCCACAACAGCTTCTGCAGAGGCTTGCATGTAACAGAACTCAACAAGCTAAATCAAGTGCAACTCAGCTGTTTCCCACCATGAGATGATCTGTGAGGAGGGTGGAAGCTCAATGAGGATATGCAATATATGCTCACGGTATTCACTTAAAACATATCTAATCTTAGCAAGTTTTATATTCAGCCTTCAACAAAGACAAAACAGAACAACTTTTGCCATGTTTAAACAATACAGACAGGACTGCACATAAGGTTTATTTTCATTAGTTAATCTGCCAAAACTGTATCATTCTACTGGCATTTTACTGTGTAAGGCTTTAATGTAAAATCAACTTTTTATTGTTACAATTTTTAAAATGTGACACTAAATGTCAAAAATGCTCAGAAATATCAAAGTTACATCAGATTCAATAATGGGTATGTTATGACAAATATTTGCAGGATACAAGCACCTTAAAATGTGGCAAGACTATGGGTGTCAGCTACATGAGTCGCCAAGGGTGTGTGATGTGCGAGAGGAAGTCATGTGCAGGAAGGGAGGTGTCATAAAATGACATGTTGAGGGTAATCACATCCTTATTGTCAGGATGAACAGTAAGACTTGATCACACATACTGTGTACAAAGAGGCAATCTAACTCCTTGAAAGTACTGTATATTGCCTTAGCAGAACAGAGAATAATGCCTTTACAATCTGATCCAGTTTTGCTTGTTGAGGCAAGTGAAAGAAAGGCATAAAGCCAGTCTACATATTTTTTTCTCAAAGTAAATAAAAGCATCAACAGCCAGCTTTTTCCACAAGCCAGTAAATGCTTTCCCCAGCTACTGTACATCCCTGTGTGTAAAACCCTTACTGCTTTTAGTATCTGTATCTAATCAAGCCTCTTGCCCCATTATCTCTCCCTCCTTCTGGTTCCCTCATTCCCAGAGTCTGACCTTACAAGGAGAGGCAACAGGGTTGATGTCACTGAATGAAGAATGCTGCAAGAATCCAGAGAGAAATGAGAGCAGGAGGAGGGGTCTGACTGGACAGTCTGTGAACAGCACACACAAAGACAGGGGGGAAAGGAGAGAGAGGTGCTGTTTACACAGTAATACGCAAGTTCTGAGCCAAAGTCAGACGAGAAAGAACTTGTTGGAAAGGATGGTGTCATTCCTTTTCCAGACTGAAAAGCACGGGGGGAGGGTCTAATAGCTGGAGAGGGGAAGAGAGAAAGAGAACTTAGCATTCCATTAAACTCTTACTCATCTTGGACCTGGTGAAAACGAAGGGCAGAAGTAAGAGGGGCATCTACGTTGCAGCGGCATTGACAGGGTAAGTAAATTTATCCACATGAATTGGGTTAATAGGAGGTGGTGGCATGTCTTACGGTATTGTGGACAGATTGATTCAGGTTACCAAATAAGGTAAGGTCTCTTCTCAGTTCAAGTATCATAGAAGCACAGGTTGTGGTTAACACCTCAGGGTTACGGTATCTTTGTGGGTCTGTCGTATAGCTAGCAGTGTTTTATATGGCATATAAAAGGGTACTGCAGACTCTGGTTTAGAGATGCCTTTCTTCCTTTGTCTCCTGGCTAAGTGTGCGTTTTGGTGAATCCGAATAAACCACCGTGAAGAAGCTAGGTCGCTACATCAGCTGATGGATACCGATTATAAGTAATGGACTATGCGGAAGCTCCAACAGGAAGTCCTGCCAAAAAGTTGACTAACCTAACAAGCTAGCTAATGCAGCGATAATATCTTGTGTTCTGAGAGGAACCGGATTTGAAAACTGACAGCACATTGAACAAGAGTCGTGTGAGGTAAGAAACATGAGTTTGTTAGTCACTTTCGCCACCCAGATCTACTGACCAAAGCTTAGGAGTACTATGTGCCGAGTCCAAGCCACCGGTGGCGTAGGGAGGTGACGATAAGACTGAGGCTACGAGTATAACGTGTGGGCTAACTTGGTACATGTGCGGGTGAGTGACAGTTTTCATTCAGCTGTCAGTGGATTTAATTTCTGAACTCGCGTGTTGAAGCTTACCTGATATAGCTAAATCGGAAATGGTACTTCAAACATGCTAATGTAATGCGTGTGTGTACCTTGAACGCATTCCGATTTCAATTAGAAACGTTAGCTTTTCTGGCCAGCTTTAGCTAGAAACCCTTGTTTTTATTGTACATTGCTATCAGCTGTGTTTGTGGCCACTCATCCGTTGCTATCAGCTGTCAAAGCAGTGGATAACAGTTGGCTAACCCTGTATGATCAATAGTATGCCAAGGTGGGTGGAGCACCTCGCTAACTAGCTAGTATATTGCTACGTAATGGTGCCAAGTAAATATAAATCTTTTATCAAGTCGCAGGTTTTACTGTTCTGTTGTGGACACGTTGAGACCTAAATGGTAAATGGTCTTATACTTGTATAGCGCCTGTCTATGCTTTTACAGCACACTCAAAGCGCTTTCACGTTATTCGGCCATTCACCCATTCACACTCACGCATTCACACACCGGTGACATCACCGGGAGCAACTGGGGGTTCAGTCCATGTTATCTACAGATAGCTCTATCACACGTCTTCACCTAGGTGCATGTGCACTGGTATCCTGCTTATGTATTGTACCTGTAAGTAAACATCTTATGCAGGTTCCAGAAACCTGGATGTGGTCTTAACACGGTTTTGATAAGCCTGGATATAAACCTAGCTAGGGTAATCCCACAGAAACCAAGAAACTGCCATGTTTAAAGCTGCAACAGTTGATCAGTATAAAAGGTACCATAAACTGTTTGGATGGTTGATTCAGGCTTTTAAATTTTTAATAATGAATACCAAAATTATCCAGCTCCAGTTTCTTAAATGCGTATATTTTATTGGCTACCATAGTCTTCTATAAAAGTCAGTTGAATATTTTTAAGTTTGGACTCTTGGTTGCACAAAACAAGACAATTTGTAGATGTCACCTTGGACTTTGGGAATAGGCATTTTTAAAAGAGAAGCTGAGAAAGCATTGGAGCAACAGACCCCAAACCAAAGTGACTCTAATGAAGTGGAGAACAGCGAATGAGCTGCCATATTTAATAGCGTCAGTAGTGGATATAAATTAAAACTAAAAAATACACAACCATTGATTTCACACAAATGTCAGCACCCAAATGTGTGTAAGTGTGCTCCTGTGTGTGAATAGATTCTGTTCATAATTAAGAACAAATCCCAGATAAGAAAGCATTGGTGAATGCCAGAATCTTTGTGAGAACTTCATAAGTGGGTTTTACCAACAGATTTGTTCTGGAGAACGGTTGGTGAATGTGGCCCATTGTTGGTTGCAGCCAAAATATAAATGCCTCATCTAGGTCTCTGAACATTCACTGTTCATAAAGTAGGCTGATGGTGAGAAATCAAGACACATCTGCACAGAGATGATGATCAGAAACCCACTGTAGTGACCATGTTGTATACCAGCATATGAATTCTTTTGTTCCTTGTAAATGCTCTTGTGTGATGAAAACCAGGATACTGAAGTCCAATTAAACTTACTAACTGAATGGCCTGTGTACACACCTAGTTGTGCCTTGTGTCATATAGGAGAGGATTCGAAGAGATTTGCCACAGCTCTAATAAGGAGTGTTGGGAAAATACGTGGGGGCCATTTTAGCATAGAAATGCTACCTCTAACCACCCTGCTGTGCCCTGCGTTTCTAATTTACCTTTTCATCAGCTAGATAAGAGGAACCTCAACCCAGTGCCAGAATAACTAGTCTTCTAGTCTGAGGTTATGGTGGTGCTTCTGTTTGAGAAGACTGGCATTATGGTTACTGATGCCTCAGTAAGTTGGTGAGACAAATGAAAATCTCTGACTGGAGATAATCTATGAATAGGAGTGTGCTAGCCTTTTTTGCCTGAGGGATCCTTCTTAATTGTAGCCTCTGTGTAAAGACACAAGCAATTTCAGAGCACCCTGTTGCCTCATATCACTATATGTCTAGCTGTTTTTTTTATCTTCTACTGTGTCCTCACTCTTCTTTGGCTTTGCTGTGTCAGTAAAAGCAGACAGGGTTGACGCAGAACCCATTGGCTGATGATGTTCTTACCAGTTTTAAAATATTGCCGGTTCAATCATTCACTTAACTGCAGTCTGCGAGGGAGCAGAACAGTGGTGCTCAGTGCACGTCCAGTGACCTGTAAGAATGGACTGAAATGTGGTGTTTGTCCCTGCACTGGTGACACACTTTCCTGGAAACCTGGTGCTATTAACATTAGAACAATAGACAACTTCATAAACAACACAACAGGTCACTGATACAATGGAAATATTGTCAGCAATCTGGGTTTTGACTGAGTTAACATATAAGGTACCTGGTTTATAAATATGGAAAATCCATTCTGTTTTTCTTTTTTACTGCTTTTATTAGTTTATTATTTGTATTTCCAAGAATAGGTACTAGCAGACAATATAACAGTCAGCTTATTACTGATTTGGGACCTTTTAAAAGGGGACTTTTGGTAGGAACTACCTCCTAAATGTTTTGCTGAATATTTGTGTCACACAGTGGTACTTTAGGGACACTATCACTGAATTAAGAATTTCTCTACCTGCATTTTCAATGTGTGGGTTTTTTGTTTGTTTGTTTTTGTGTTTTTTAAAGAGATGAGACAAATAAGACCAACCCAATTACGCACCATGCTAAAATACTCCAATATGACCTTTTAAAAAGCAGTAGTACAGTTTATAAACCAAATTTAGTTCCTCTACAATTGCAAAACAATAAACCACTGTTGAGTGAAGTGCACTGAGCTCCTCTTTAACAGCTGCATTGCACAATCTGGGTTTTCATGTGAAAAGATCAACACAGAGACATAATATAAAGATAATAGAAATTGGGCTACAAAGTAGTGTAGTTTTGCTTTTGTTTTTCAGTGTTTAATAGTACATGTTGACCTTAAAATGCCAAATCTCCAGGCTGTTGTTATCAAGCCTTGAAGAAGTCTTCTGGTTTTCTGGGACAGGACTTCTCCAGCTTTATTAATGAGTACCACAGCCCTGCTGGTTTTTATATCCTGCAAAGTAGTTAGGCTTATTACTGTACCTTCTACCTCATCACATGTATAAATCAGGTCCCAATAAGATGTAATGAGATCCAAATGGGCTCTGGTATCAGTGCTGAGAACCCATTTGCTAGCCTGTAAAAGCATGTGGAGTTTATATAGAGTACAGTATGTGAGTTATGCTGGTGCCCTGTGTAGAGACTGCACACTACGATCCTCCATCACAGTTGCAAAGTACAAATGATTAAATGCAGCCTCAAATGATGTCATTCAGTTCAAGCAGTGGATGAGAAGTTGAGGAAAGCACAAGAGTAAAAGAGATAAAAACAGCTGTGGCCTGCTACAGATCATAAGTCTGTAAATTAGGTTATAAAATTAAGCCAGAACAAAGCAAGCATTTGGGTCCTCATTAAGGGAGGAAAAACAACGCAGAGGAAAGGAGGTAAAGTGGGCTTATTGGAGTGTAACGAAAAAAACAAAAAAAAAAACCCCACAAAGGTGATGTCATTGAGTTGCAAGGCCAAATATGTTCCTCAGCTGAGGGTCTCTTGCATTTGGGAGGATCAGGTTTCATGAAAAATTTGCAGTGGGATGATTGGCCCTCAGTGCGAAGCTGATCTCACCCTGTTAAAATTCTCCGGCAACCTGACTACAAGTTATCACAGCTGTTGAATAATTGGGAGGACTGTTGCATGTTGTCACTTAGAAACAGGTCGCTAAAGTGCTGTATTAAAAAGACGCACTTTCTCTAGAAAGCCATTATAGATCCAAATGTTCTCTTTAGTGTCTTGTGTTAATATCCAGGATCATAAACCTCATCTCTAGCCAAGAGCTTTACGTTGATTGTAACCATTCAGTCTGTTTTTGGCATTAAAAGTCTACTTCATTCTATGATACTGAGTTTGAGTAGCTAGCTCTTTCCCCAAAGACTGAAAACCACCTGTCCTTTCTGTTTAGTTTTTTTTTTTTTTTCCCCCATTGCTGCAAATACGAGCTTGTGTGTGTGTGTGTGTGTGCACCCAGAGTTTTTTTGGTGCAGACTCCAAGAAGTATTGATTCATGCAGCGACGATATGAATTATTTAAGTGGGATGGTGAAATGGAGCTAAAATTCTGTAGGTCAGTGTTTTGTAACTCCATATAAAGGACCGTGAATCCCATGGCATTAGTTTGTTGTAATTTCTCTAGTGAGACAAATGGTTAAAAACTGTCTTGATCAGTCAGTTATGTTGTCTGAAGTATCATCTGGAGTTGGTCTATTCATTTTTGGGTGAGATTGGGGGGCTGTAACACTGTCAGTGCATACACATTTAGAGCTATCAGATAAAAATGCACTTACAAAAATTTATCTGAGAAATGACACAGCTCTATAGCTAGAACGCTTGCAAAACAAAAATAACTGGGCCTTGAAAATGAAAATTATATCCTCTGGTTTTAAAGATATCCCCCTGGCAACATATGAATTTTGTTCGAGAATGACCAAACTTAGTCAAATTACAGAAGGACAGATCTCTGAGCAATGCCAGAAATTGTAACCAGAACCCTTGGCGGGTCTAATGGCAAAAGTATTTGCTTTTGAAACAAGCTTCTTAAGTGAAACATAAATCTAATGTTGTCTCAGGAAGTACAAGCCACTCTTTTTTTGTTTTTGTTTAACTGATGTGCTTATTACGTTCATGTCTCAGTTCAAGACATCAAGATCTATGTTGCATACATCAGCCTAGATTATCTCTTCAAGTCAAAAGGTGTCATGTTTACTTGTCAGTCTGTTTTGTGCAGGTCAGCATAAAATGTAAATGATTGAATAGTACTACAACCGACCATCTATATATATATTTTTTAGGGTCATATTTGAATTTGCACATTTCAATTAAGAAGCAGAAAACTTTAAAACATTGTGATAAATGTGCTATGTAGCCGGGAGGATTCATGAATCAGAGGTTCCTAATGCTCATATGACCAACCCATGACTCGGTACAAAAGCTGACCATTTTGTATGCCTCCATCATTGCCTCATTCTGGACATATATGGTTAAAACGGCTGAACGTCAGTAAATCTTGTATTGCAGGAAGCTGACCCAAGCAAAGCAGAAGCGCTGCTGTCTCATAAACCGGTTATGTCATGAGCAGCAGAGACAATTTTCAGTGGCTTTTAAAGTTTTTTGTCTTGTCAGAACTTCCTTTGTTTGAATGAAGACTGAATACATTGCTTTTAGCCTGGACTCTACTCACTTTGTACCCGGCCTAGGAGCTTCAGCCCCTTATTCACTCAAACTGTGAAAAACCTAGGAGTGTTATTTGACAGCAGCCTCAAATTTGACAAGCAGATTAGTTCTGTGGTCAAAATAAGCTTCTTTCAACTGAGGCTCTTAGCAAAGGTGAAGCCTTTTTATCTCGAGTCGACCTAGAAAAAGCCATTCATGCTTTCATTAGCTCACAACTTGACTACTGCAGTGCCCGCTATACTGGAATTAACCAGTCTCTCCTCCGTAGGCTCCAACTAGTACTGAACTCGGTTTCTGGTTGTCCCGCGGTCAAGGTACAAAAAGTGGGGTGATCATTCTTTTGTCGTTTAAGCCCCCAAGCTCTGGAATACCCTGCCTCCTGAGCTTCGGTCTGTAACTGAGTTAATGGTTTTTAAGTCTAAATTAAAGGCACACCTATTCAGACTGGCTTTCAGCATTTAATTTATAGCAGTGACGCTATACAGGTGCCTACAGGCTTTCTGATTTTATATTCTATAATCTTATTCTGTTTGTACTTTGACTCATTTTTATTGTACAGGAGTTTTATAGTTTCTTACAGACTGTGATTTTGTGTAATTTTAACATTTCCTTTTTGTTTGTGTCTTAACATGTTCTGCTTTTATTTTTATATGTTTTGTTGTGAAGCACTTTGAGCACCTTTGGGTGTTGTAAAGCGCTATATAAACAAATAAATTATTATTATTAACTCGAAGCATTGCCTGTGTGTCCTGACGAAGAAGAACGGCAATGGAAAAACTTCATTTCTTGGTTGGTTTTAGCTTTGAGCGTTAGCTGTGGCATGTCTACATCATAATTTTCAGCACTATGTTAGACTTGATCTCTTCTGGGAAACATTGTTATTAGAAGCTCCAAAACAATTGACACATTTTAACCAACCAGCTACTCGGCATTGTATGCACAGAGGATATATGAATGACGTTTATAGAGGTATCACCACTGTGCAGGCTAACATTCATCAGGCTGTAGAGGATAAATGCCACACAAAAGCATTATAATTCTTAATTCATTTTTCACTGGAAGACCTTATCTCCAGTTTGTCTAATTCTTAGTACCTGCAGCTCATTCTGTTGCAGGTTATGACTTCATGACATTTATGTTAAAGGCTACTTGATTAATCCAACATTGGCATGTTAATCATTGCCAAAGTTGTTGTTCTTCTTTTTATTATAGGTATGCAAGTATTTCAGAGCGTCAGGGTAGAATTATTTGTGAAACAGCAACAGAATACGAGTTAAGACTCTGTCCGTGTCTGTGGGCTTAGGCCACACATGTGGCCAAAGGTCATGTATGGGGCGCTTAGTCTTCAGGGAGATGTGCTCAGACTTTGCAAGGAATCTCAGTAGAGACACTGAAGTAACATCAATATTTGTTTAGCCACCAACATGTGCAGTAAATATTTGAGCTCAGCTTTTTTCTGACATGCCTCACATGAAAATGTTATGACAGTTGCTATCTTCCCTACTTTTAACCAGTCTCCTCCTGACTAACCTCTGTTCTGCCGTGCTTTATGTCACTTTAAGCCGCCGTGTGTTAAATATTTGTAATTGTCTCAGGCATCTGGGAGTGCCGTGCTCTGTCAGCTCTATATACTGTATATGGCTTAAGGATATGTTTACACACTTCCCCCATTCCATCGTAGACCATTTAAAGGGATTTGGTAACACTGGATTTGGAGAATGCCTGGCAGTTGTTTACTGCTGCGTCACTAAATCCACAAATAGTTCAAGCTACATTTTAAGACACAATAAACCTCCAATGTAATTAGTTTTACTAACTTTAGGGGTCAAGACAGCTTTGGCTCAGTTGTAAAGTACACAGTATGTAATCTGCATAGAGTGCTGTTTTGGCAGTTAATTTAAAACTAGTCTGTTTTTTACTAATAGGAAACGTTTAACAATATGCACAGATTGAATCACACTGCGAGTTTAGGAAAATGCTGCCAATTTTGAAGCTGGAAACTTGACAAGAGTACAAGAAAAACGTTCTCAACATTTCTGACTTCTTTTTTTTTTTATTATTATTTTCTGAGTTGTTCCTGCTGCCATTTCACAACTATCCACAATATGTTTTCATTTAGCCCTTCTGATTCCATTTTACAGAATCAAAGGACAACATTTCCATCAACAATACTCTCAAATGTCAGGAAAATATATTCTGTATGTAGACTGATGTCTTAGTATACTTTTCTCACCCTTTCAAACTTTTACAAACTATCATATTTTGCCTATTATTGGTGTGAAGTTTGGAATTTTGACAGGCCAGATGTGTTGCACATGTGCCATCACTGCTAATTCTCCAGCAAAGACTGAACATGCATAAGCTGGAATGGAATGCAAGCCCTTTGCCTTTAGTCAGCTGATTATTGTTGGTTTCATTAAGTGGGTTGTGAGAGTGAGACTCTATTGTTTCAACTTCACTGCGGCTTGTTTTTGTTATAAAAGAGACTCTTGCATAAGAACGAATATTGTCCTTTACAGTGTTTACCTAATGTTTCTTATGCTCATCCACAGATAAATACACAGAATGGAGGACCCTAACAAGCCGTTCCTGGTCACATCCTCTCTGAACTTCAAAGTCACCACGCCATCCTTCTACAACCAGCCAAAGAAGTTTGCCCCTGTGGCACCACCACGGCCCAAAAGTCAGACACCTCCCTCGGCTCCTTCACCGACACCAGTAGGCACGGGTGTGATTGGTCGAGTGGGAGATTTGCCTCCGCCGCCCTCTTCACTCAGTGATGGTATATGCATTATCTATGCTATTCCCATAAAGGCTATGAAGAAGGTGACTGCTAGCAAGCATAAAAGAATGTAATCAATGCAGGATTTAAAATATTCCAATTGCTATCAAAACATCTCATCAGGAGGAAATTCAATAGATGTTTGTCACCTGTGCTATGGTAAGAAACTTTTAAACTCCACAGGGCACAAACAGAAATATATCGGGACACTCACATTCACCAGGCAGGACTGGGATTTTCTCAAAACATTTTTAAACTTACAAATCCGTCAGTGGAACAGTTAAAGGTCATCAAATTCCTCTCAAACTGGCACAAATCCTCCCCACTTTTTTTCTTTTTTTGTATTGTCTTGTTAGTCTTTTAAACTATAAACACATATTGTTAAAGCATTCTGTGTACCTGATAAATGATAAGTACAACTGAGTTAAATAAAATCATTGTGTCACAGCTTTTAACCAATCAACCCTCCTCATTTTTGTCAGCCTTCCCCCCCCCTCCCCCTCCACTGGATGATGATTTGCCAGCCCCTCCCCCTGAATGCCATCCCACAACCTCTGACGTCCCCCCTCCCACCTTCCCCGCTCCACCTCCAGAGTCTTAATATGGTATTTAAGTTGCTTTGCCTGACTGCATCTTTCTTCTTTTTGCTGCATGCAGCTGTATATATAGATAGTTAGGACACTGGAGCAAATTGTCTGGGACTAGGATTAGTCCATGGAGTGTTGCCAGGAAATAGTCTTTTGAGATTTTCCCACAAATAGTATTACCATTAGTCTGGGGTAATCAGCCAGTTTCAAGCCTCTAACAAGATTATTATACATTTGAAACAGTTTTTAGACATGCAGTGAGAGGTTTATCATAGAATGGCAGTAAATTAATTGGAGTTGGCTTGTTAGGCTACCAATGCATCAATGTGTAGAATTAGAGTTTGTCTGCCAGTGTTAAATTGCAAAATGAAAAGGTAGTTTGAAAATGTTAAACACAGGAGTGTACCTCATGTTTAAATTAGTAGAGAACTTGTGCTAAATAATTCCAAGGAAACATCCTAATAAACCAACAATTAAATAAGTGAGCATTGCTTCATTTGCATAAATAAACCTTTTGGGATTATGTCCTCCCTGTCTTCCTCTGCCAGAGACCAACGGAGATGCAGATGAGCTTCAACCAGCAGCTTGACTCTCTAACTGATTTGTTGTCTGAGATGGAAACCAGGGGACCTTTCAACCCCAAGGTACAAAGCATAGAGATGGGAATACGCTTTAACAAATGTAATATATTACAGTATGCTTAGGAAGAACTATGTTCTTTAGAGAGTGGAAGAGAAAATGAGACAAATGACGGCATATTTTTGACTTGCAAGGAAAAAGAACAAGTCAGAGGGTCAAAAAGGGAAATAGCAAGGTGTGTCAGTGGAAGGTCTGTAGAGATGCCAAGTTGTTTTTTGAGTCTTTTCCTCGTGTTCAGGTTTAAAGCTCAATGATAAGTGAACTACACACAAGAGAAAACTAAAAAATGAGGTAGCTGGTGATTCACACTGAGCAAGGAGACACTTGTAGATAGAGGGAAAGTGATGCACACAGAACTGAGTGGACAGTATGAGAGTGTGATGAAACCAGAGTGTGCTGCCAGAGACTCAGTGAGAGGCCCATAAATGGAGAGTGTTTTCATCCAGCTGGGAGGTACGGAGGCAGAGTAATGTTGGCTGGAAACTGCAAAATAAATGTCAGAAGGACAGAGCACTTCTGATAAGCTCAAACTGTGGAGCACTTCCAAAGTTTACTTCAATCGAAGCACTTCATTCAATATACAGTACAGCATTGCAGTGACTTATCAGAATCACAATCAGCTTTATTGGCCAGGTGTGTCGGGCAAACAAGGAATTTGACTCTGGTACAGCGGCTCTCAATGTGTACATACACATCAGCAAGCAAAGGAATGTGCATTAGGAAACGAGATTTAAAAAATAAGAGTCAAGTACTTATAGAGACCTAGAGACGTCTGTGTGTGTCTGGATTCAGCGGAACTATATGTACAATGTATATTTACAGGTACAGTGGAACCTTGGATTGCGAGTAACCCGGTTTGTGAGTGTTTTGCAAGATGAGCAAAAAATTCTGATTTGATATACGAGCGAGGTCTCGCAATATGAGTAGTACGTACGTTTTGTCTGCCGTACGTCACAACTGAGCCGACGGTTCTCGCGCTTCACTCGTATAGTCGATATCTGTAGTGCAACAATGGCCCCTCACGCCAGCCACGATTCTTTTCAAAGGTAAAGTGCAGGTTAAATTTTTTTACTTTATACTGGATTTTGTATTCATTTTTATATGGATAAGTTGGTGTGGAACAAATCATCTGAGTTTCCGTTATTTCTTATGGGGAAATTTGCTTTGATATACGAGTGCTTTGGATTACGAGTACGTTGCTGGAACGAATTATACTCGCAATCCAAGGTTCCACTATATTGCACTGAGGGTTATTGACCAGACATACTCTCATGGGTTAGGTGTTAATCAGAGTGACGGCCCGGAGGAAGAAACTGTTCTTGTGCCTGCTTGTCTTGGCTTTGTCCAAAAGGGAGGAGTTCAAACAGATTATGTCCAAGGTGTGAGGGGTCTGCAGTGATCCTCTCCGCCCTCCTTTTGACCCATGAGGAGGGGAGAAAGTCTGAGAAAGATGGTTTGGTGTGAGTTGTCTGATGTTTAACAGTTCTTCTCTGGTGAAAGTAATCTGGGATGGGTTGTAAGAGACTGAGGAAACAAGGAAAAGCAACAAACACAGGAGAGCACGAGTACATAAGGCAGCCATAGTCGTTGGCACCTTCTTAACAATTATTGTAAATAGTAGCCTGATGTTACTGAATAAACTCAGTGCTTGTCCAGAACAGCCTCACATTGAATTTGTGTGCTTTATTATGAGGTGAATGAATCTGTGAAATGGAATTTTTATAGTTACTCTTGTATTACCCACAGTTACCAAGCCAGTATTCTTCTGCATCAGCACCCAAGCCTTCAGCTCCTCCACCAACTGCTCCCAAACCAGCCCTCTCTTTTCTCCCACCTGCTGAGATGGGAGACCGCCCTCCTCCTGCACCCTGGGCCGAAGAACTCAAAGCCAGAACAAACCGACAAGCAAATCACAGCCCTGCAGCAAACGCTGCTGCCCAGCCATTTGCTAAGGCCCCAGCTGTGGCGCCCAAGTCTGGTTTTGGAGGGAAAACTGCAACCTCATCAGCTTCTCTGGCACAAAAACTGAGCCAGAATTTGAATCAGACATCCACCCCAATCAGTGGAGCACCAAAAACTTCTGCCCCCAGCTCTTCCCCTCTCCCTCCCGCAGCTCCTCCTCCACCAAACAACACGGCCAGTGCCCTGGCCTCTAATCACATTAAGAGTTCTCCTTTTCCTGGTCAGGTGAATGCGAACCAAAACCCTCCTGCTGCTGTGCCTCCTGCTCAGCCTAAGTCGATGGAACCTCCAGCCTCCTTTAGACCACCAACAAAAGCACCTCCTGCATCATCTGTATGTTCTAACTTTTTTTGTCACTCATCACATTGACTGTATAGTAGAAAAGCACAAGAAGTATACACAGTATAATCAGTATAATTTACAGTCAAAAGATGAGAATTATGCTTTGTACTAATGGCTATTTTGTGTGTGTGCATGTAATCAGCCCTCGTTCCCTGGGCCAGTTGCTGTCCCAGGTGGAGGCGTTCCTCTGAGCATGAGAGAAGTGGAGGAGCTGGAGAGAATGACCAAAGACTTCATTAAAGACATGGACACGCACGCACCTGTCATCACCTCCCCTCCTACAGGTACACACATGCACATTCAATGACATGGGGAGGCGACAGTGGTGCAGTGAGTAGAGCAGGCGTCTCCCAACCGGAAGGTTGAAGGTTCCTTGCCCAGTGTCTTGCCCACACTGTCTTTGGGCAAGACACTGAACCCCCCTGGGTCTGTATTGGAAACAAATTCCTTGTGTGTAACATACTTGGCCAATAAAGGTGATTATCCTCATTATAACACACATCAATTCCACTTTGTCACTAAAACAGTCCTACTGTTCAACTGTCATACTGTTATCTAAATGTTTATGAGAGAGTCATATAAAACACACCCATCTCACATCACGATTCTGTGGAGTAATGAAGACGAATGGTGCATATCATTTTAGCTAATTACAGTCATTAAGTAGCTGCTAGTCTGCACCTCCTGTGCAAGTTTTACCAAACACTATCAAGAGATGCAAATGTGATGCGGTGTTAACAAGTATTGACTTGTAGTATTCTTGGTGAAAAATAATGTAAGATAAATTTAAAAAATGATGATTGGCAGGTAATTTAATAGTAATTTAAATGTTCAACACAAAAAAAGAAATTTTCTTGTCACTTTGCTGACTGCAAAATGCAAGCCATTATGGTTGATTTAACCATTGTATTAACAGTATTTGTACATATATATATGTTCTACTATTTAAGTGTAGTAGGCGTTTACTGCTTCCTGCTGTGGTGATTTCTGTTTTTCTTGCAGTATTTTCTAACAAATATGTGACTTACTTTAAACTACATCTGTTGTATGAAACTTATGTGTGGAGGAAATGACAGTGTTTAATACTGTAATTCTCATTAACTGGGAAATGACAGTGTGATTAACACAAGTAGAGTTGAACAGGAAGATGGATGTACTTGTAACTAATCCTCTTTTCAATCCTCTTTCTTTCTGCCGTTCTCTCCTCAACTCCTCCCCCGACTTGCGCTTCCCCATTTCAGAGGTTTGTGGGAAGTGTGGAGAGGCTCTGTCCCGTAGTCAGCCAGCCGTGAGAGCCATGGATAAACTCTTCCACTCCAACTGCTTTTGTTGCATGAGCTGCCATCGCCCCCTGCAGGGCATGCAGTTCTACGACAGGGATGGCTCACCTCAGTGTGAGAGCTGCTATATTGTGAGGAGACACGCAAACAAAAGCAACACACATATTAACAGCAGTATGTAGCATACAAATTCAGTATGTGAATAGATGAAAATAGTAAGTTTTACTGATGTGATTACTGCACAGTGAAAAGCACATTATCACCACAATTCTCTGTTTAGCATTTATTAAATCTGGAAGTACACAGAACAGCACCATTAAACTGAAATATTCAGTGCATATGGTTTTTACCTTGTATAATGCTCCTTGTCTTCTATCTTAGAGTTCCTTGGCAGTGTGTTCCCGATGTGGGGACAGGATCACAGACCGTGTGTTGAAGGCAGTGGGCCAGTGTTTCCATGCCCACTGTTTCCGCTGCAGCACATGCTCCTGCACACTTGAGGGGGCGCCCTTCATCACTGATGACAACAACAACCCTTACTGTGTCCAGGATTACCACAGGTAGAGCAGCTCCTGGCTGTTATTCAGCTAATGGCATATTACATCTCTGTTCATTTCTTATGAGAAGTGATTATTTTGTGACTGTGCACTGTATGATACCTAAACTACAGTGTTGTTACCAGTAATTCTCCTGACTTTCCCTGGCATACTGTCTGCATAAAGAAGCATTAACTGTCCAAGCATGTGTTTTGAGGACAAATCTCTTTATGCAGTGTTTGGATTTGTCCATTTGTATGACCCAATCTGTCCCCCTGTTGGGATGCAAAATGTATTTCTTTATCTCCTGCTGATAAGAAGATTGCACAGCTTGTTAACTGTGGATAAAGTCATTTGATTCAACAAAGCTGATTAGGATTCAGAATTTCTAGGCCCAGAATCAACACGTTGGATATGGTTTCATTAAAATACCTTGCTTTAGGTGAAACTTGACAATGAGCGTAAATGTGTGAGAAGCTGAGTGGTTTCCCCCCCCCCAGGCGTTTCTCCCCTCTGTGTGTGAGCTGTAATGAGCCCATCGTTCCAGCACCAGGCAGCGAAGAGACAGTCAGAGTGGTGGCTCTCGACAAGAACTTCCACCTCAAGTGTTACCGCTGTGAGGTAAGACATTTAAACACGAAATTTTATATCCAAAATATATCACACTGTGAATTTACCACACTTAAAAAATAAAAATAAAAAGTTGCAAAAGATAATGCGCATATATATATTATTTATTCATCTTGTAGGATTGCGCTCGCCCTCTTTCCATAGAAGCGGATGAAAATGGCTGCTATCCATTGGACGGTAGGATCCTGTGTATGAAGTGCCACACCAAGCGAGCCAAGCAAGCTGCACAGTAATTGGTTAATGCAGCATCACTCAGTTTATCTATGAACCAAATCCAAAAGCACAGGAGTCATTTAGCTGCTGTTTATAGCAGGGCTATATTCAGTATATGGGTGTGCAGATGCGAGTGCGAATGTGCCGGATGAAAATGTTTGCATGCAGATACAGTGTAGTATATCTCTGCTCACCTCAATGCAGAAGTAATGTACTGCATTGACATAGTGTCCCCTGATCTTTTTTTCCCCAAGCGCTCACATCTCCCATGTAGGTCTTCTTTGTGTGCAGGAACATGTTTTTTGTGCCAATTTTATGTTTACGCAAAAATGCCAGCATAACTTGCACAAGAACAGTTTGATCAAAAAAAGTAGTCTGAACATAATGTTTTGTTTGTTTGTTTGTTTGTTTTAAATCTTGCCTCAGTATTTTTACCGTGCACCATGTACTGAAATATTTCCATCTGAAGACTTTCGCTGGCTGGCCTCTTTTTCTATTAGTACTGTAACCATATCAATGTTACTGAGATAGACAGATATCTACCACAGGAAAATGAGTATCCAGATCCTCCCGCTGGACCATTCCACAGATTTCACCACTCTGATTGGCCGTTGAGAGAACATGTCTTTATCACTTTGACAGTTCTTGTGCCAGGAAGCATTAGTTAATGATGCTCTCCTGCCTAGAAAGTGCTTTATGTCAGCCACTCTACTCTAGTAGCATTTCAGTCATCCAGGGCTAAATGTTTGCTGCAAAATAAAGATAAGTGAATGTTGCTTGTATTTTGTGCTGTGAATCTGATCATTTACAGGCATGAATTTAATTGTCTTGGAACAAAAATCTGCCACTTATCAAAAGTAGCTCAGTGTTTATTAAACTGTTAAGTATTTTTAGATGCATGCTTTTTGAATGCACAAATTATGAACAAATGCAAGCACAGGTTTGCCAAGGATAGATTCCATTCCAGCGATAATTGAAAACAGTGTAGGTAAAAATGTCAGCTGCATTCCTGGAAACGGGACCTGTTGTGTGATCATTGCACAGTTTCATAGTAGAAATATCCTTTTAGTTTCACTTTGACATAATACATTTTAAGTAGCACCTAGAAACACAATAGTATAGCTTTGGATATGCATTTCCTTGGAATCACTTGCTTTAAATATATTAATTTATGGACCTTTTGAGCATTGATGTTACATGTATACCAGTGCTAAATTAACCTCTCCTTGCAGCAGGATAATAGATTAGTAGAGACAGTAGCTCTTAAGTCTCGTAGTAGATGATAAAACATGGTGACCAAATATTTCAAAGCTTTTGGCAAGATTGAGGTTAGTGAAAGGGTTGTATGCGATTCAATATTTTGACATTCATGTATTTTTGATGTATCTTTACCATAAACACCACTATTCTTTCTATTATTCATCTGTTCTTCAGTCTTTTCATGACAGTTATGTGCTATTTTATTCTTATGTTACTGTAATGTATTTAACTGATAAATTGTTACATTTAACCTGGCAATGTGCCTTTTTTTGCTTTTGTTTCATTGTTCTTTTGGATGTGAGCCTGATTTGCAGCCACAGAAATTCAGTCCTCAATAAGAAAAAAGTAGTTTCTTGTGCTTGGTGCAGCGTTACACCAGAATCACTAACATGGCAATGGTGATTCAGTATTGCATGCTAGCTGTGTAGGTGGTGGTGGGATTTTCTTGTAGTATTATGTATGTCTTTTGTTTGCACCAACAACTCCACCATTGTGGTCCTGCCTTTGTCACCACCATGTGATTATATGTATGATGATGCCTTCACAGTTTATCTAGTGTTTTGTTGTGTTATGTCTGTTGTATTATATGCGGAGGCCTTGTCTTTTCATATGTTTTTTATAAATTCCTGTTTGAGATATGTGAATGTCTTTATGTTTAAAATCCTTATTTAGCCCAAACCCTCCTTGTGTGGCTGTATCAAAAGATAAATAAAGTGCTAACAATCAAGTTTTTCTTTGCTTCCTTGCCTGCAAGTGGTACAGTTTTAAAGCCACAAACTCTCAGAATACATCAGATATAATAGCTAGTATATTCTGCACAAGAATGTTTGTTTCTCCTTCTGGTCGGCCCCCGAGTGACATCCATCAAACGTGTTTCCTCCCAGGCTCTCGATGTGCTAAACTGTTATATGGCCTCCAGAACGCCAAAACTGCTCTATCAGTTGTTACCAGCCATGTATGGCACTGATAATGACGACAGCAGATGAGTGTGTGTGTGTGTGCATGTAAGTGTGCAGACTTTCTCAGAAGACGGGCTTGCCCTCATTCATTGCAGTGTAACCTTTACTTTCCTGGAAGATGTGCTTGTCCTCTTTCAGTGCAATGTGCTGACCTTACAGTCCCAGCCTTCTGTTCTTGAGCTTTTGACCCTGTGTACAAGTGGAAAACTAAAAAAATCAAGTTGCAGTCCTTATATTGAGCTTCTTCAAAACATCCCCCGGAACATCCCATAGTGGAGCCTTAGTAGGCGTGGTTATTTGGGTTCTGGAGAGGAGAGCGAGACAGCCTGCAGAGCTATTTTATCAGCTTCAGATGAGGGACAAAGTGAGTGATGAAAAGAGATAGAGAGCTGAGATGACAGAGGAGGAGTTTCACATCTGAAACATCACACATGAAAGACAGAGGATGCACCACGCTGGAGATACATAGAGCAACAAACATTTACTAAGAATGAGTGAAACTCCAATAGAGCTTGAGGTAAGATTTCAAAAACAAAAAGTTTGCCATGTTGTTATGAAACTGTCTTATGATGTGGTAATGAGGCTGATGTGAGTTCTAGTTGCTGGAAACTGGAGCTGAGCCATCCATGTCCCTGAGATTGAAGTTGAGTGAGGTTTGCCGTGTGCTCAGACGGTGTTGCCAAAAATGTTGTATACCAATAGGAAAACTGATATTTTGATCAGCAATTTCCAGTAATTGGTAAATATTAGCGAGGGACAGCAAACGCACAGTACATACAAGCTGCTGGTCAGCACCAATGATGTTAACATACGGTATGATTCAACTGAACTGTAAAGTAACCTTTGAGTACTAAAGTATATGTTAGTGGAGATATCTAAGTATATAGTTGTGCGGTTTGAGCTAATGTCACAGTTACTTTGATTAAAACTGACCGCTCTTGAAAAGGTTAACTGGTAAATTTAGATTTGAAATGGACTCTTTGGCAGTGTCATCAGTATTTTGTGTGTGTCAGCAGTATTTGCTGCTGAAAATAGAACAGAGTTGCACAAAGTATTATACAGAGCAGTGAAAAAGGCCTCAGCTGTGACCAGATGTTAAGAATTGGGATATTTTGGTGAGAGGGGGGTTCTGGGATGTTCATCGTTAAGTCTTCTGATTTCTTCTTGTTTGTCAGTTGGTGCCAGAGCGCAGCAAGTGTCTCCGGTTGTTTTTTATGGAAACAAAGGTCTTAGATCTAGGTTTTGCCCTGGGGGTAGGGTGGCTAACTTTTTAGTCTTAAAATAAGCCAATCTTTATTTTTGTGAAACAGTCTAACTTGCATTAGACTAGTCGTAACACTATAGCCCAGTCTAAACTGGCTTTGTGAAAGCAGCCCCTAGAGTTGTTCTGGGCTTAGCACTTTTTAGGCAGCTCATCAGTTGTTATTATATGCCTGCATGATGGTTCTGTGGGTTTTTGATGACATAGACTGATATACATTGACCGGCCATTTTAGTAGGCACATCTGTTTATGAAGCTCAGAATGTTTCAGTTCTTGATGAATTTGCCATAAATACATGAATGTATATGTTTATTACTGAAGTAATAGTTAAAGGTGGTGTTGTACTGGGCTTTATTTTTGTCCTCTCCAGCTACATACATGAGAGGGTCAGAATATTAGGAACGCCTCTGAATATAGTGTAATCCATCCAGTACAACACCACCAGTAACTATGACCTCAGTAATAAACATAGAATAGAATTTATACATTTATGACAATTTCACCAAAAACCAAAACATTCAGAGCTTTTAAGAAGCATACAATTGAGCCTATTAAAGTGGACAGTCAGTGTATATTAATATCTATATATAACATATTCACTATATGTGAGTAAATAGCTTCATAAGCAGCTACTTACCGGAGGATCTGGATGCACCCAAGGGGTTACAAGATAAAGCTAAGGTGTCACCAGATGATTATTAAGAGGAAAAAACTCAGCAAAACCAACTTTTGCTTAGTTTTTCTTGAAATATTAGAGATGTTTATTCAAATTAAACACCCTTGAGAAGGGGCCATCACTGTTCGGTTACACTTATCACAGCCCATATATGTAATGCAACCTGTGATTAGGTTCACTGGTGAACAGTAGTTAACTCTAAAGTAGGGCTTTGGCTAACAATTATTTTTTTACAGATAGCCATATAAACAATTTACTATCATAGAAGACTACAGAAACCAAAAAAGTTCAAATTTGAGAAGTTGAAACCAGAGAATTTTGAACATTTAGCCTGTTATAAAAATAGTTGCAGATTTTCAACAATCACTTGACTAATTGTTGCAGATCTACTATAAAGGCTAAAAACAATGGGCTGCATTGTTCTTTGTAACAGCTGCACTGGTTTGTCTAATCATATATACATCTTTATTTGACAGGTAGACAACATTAGTGGTGTGAGCTACATTTTAAAAAATCCAAAATTGTCATTGCATTTCAGTTGAACCAGTTATATTCTGTTTTTTTTTTTCAACTGCTCACTTCCAGCTTCAGCTATCAATCCAGCCAACATCACAGCCAGAACCTGAGAGGGGGCTTCAGCCTCCACCTCTGTTCCAGCTGCCACATCCCACCCAACATCCCTCTGAGAACCAGCAGGAAAACCAGCTCCAGTCTGACATACAGCTGTCGGAGTCTAACCCCGAGCACCAAGCAAACCCAGTGTGGATTCACCATCGAAGGCTGTTTCTCATCTTCCTGGGACTCTCCTTATATGCTGCCACTCTGGTTTTCTTTTATTATATGTCTCAGAATAACCAAACAGGCATAGGTAGGACCAGAAAGATGCAACAACTTGGCACAGTATATTCAGAATTTGTCATTTTGTCTCTCCACTCTCCCTAACTTTTCTCTCCCTCTTTCCTGTAGTGACTCCATGTGTGTCCCCAGCCTGTGAGTGGGCCTCTGCTCGTCTCTCCTTGTCTGAGGATCCTTTCACACAGCCCTGTGACTACTTCCTGTTCACATGTAGATCTGAGAGGTTCTCACCAGACAGCTGGGGAAGACAGAGCGGGCAGGGTGTCCCAGGACATCCACAGAGCCAGAAGGAAAAGTCTGTGTGGGCAGAGAGGACAGTACAAAATAAAACGAAAGAAGACAAAGGGCTGAGTAAAGAGAAAACACAGGACAGAAAAGCTGTCCTACTGTATTACCTCAGAGAGATTTTGGGTAGGGGATCTACAACCAAACATGTCATCTAATGTAAAGCACTCTGCATTGTAGTGTTTTAGCATGTTACATAACTGTGTTATCTGAATTGTGTTTTTCTGTATCTTGTTGTCAGAATCAAACAATAGATCGGGTAGTTCAGCAGTGCAGAAGGCCAGAAGATTTTACTATTCCTGTTTGGACACGCAATCTATAGACACTGCTGGGGCAGAGCCCTTCCTCACACTCATCCAGAAGGTATGATAACCATATACCCTTTATAAATGAGTACATTTTAGGCTAATAATTCCTAAAACAAGTTGTCAATGTTCCTTATTACCTCTCTCTTTATAGGTTAAGGGGAAATCATTTATCTATCATACGCAGTGTCTTAGGCAACACTCTTTTTGTCAGTTACATTGGTTGGCTAAAGGAGGGTGCTACAGTCACAAGTAATAATTTATCATAACATCTCCAAGGTCAGTGGTGGAGGTGAACCACCAGGAGTGGCTCCGAATGTCTGATTAGTCATTTAATTGACAGAGATAGACAAAAAATGTAACTGTTTTGATAATCAGTGAGTCATTTTGCAAGCAAAAAATACTAAATACTTGATGCTTTGTGAGATGTGAGAATTTCTGAGAATGCATTTTAATTATCTTACATGACAGTTTACTTAAAATTTGTGCTTGACTAGACCAAGCAATCTCAACAATTTCATGATATTACCTCTGGTGAATTTAATTGGCATAGGCTTTGTTACTAATTGTTTCAGGTGGCAGATACATTGTGAGTTGTTTTTGGTTATTTTCATATCTGTGGCCCCTTTCTCTTGATTCTGATAACCTCCACTTTGTTTTTTTCTCTTTCTCTCTGTCTGTGTGTGTGCAGCTGGGAGGCTGGGCTGTATCAGGCCAGTGGAATCATACTGATTTTAACTCCACCCTTAGCCTGTTAATGAGGGACTATGCCACCTTTCCTTTTTTCAACGTCTATGTGGGCAAAGACCCAAATGAAATTGCCCGAGGGATGGCCAGAAGATACATACAGGCCAGTATGCATTTGGATAATTTATGAGTCTAACCTGCTGGTGGGAGCAATGCCATAGCAAAGCTGGCTTGGGGTTATTACTTAAACTCAGATTTCTGATTTGTCAACAGATTGATCAGCCAGATCTGTTGATCCCAATTGAATGGAACAGCAAAACACAGAAGTCTCAAGCTAAAGCTGAGGTTGGTGACTTAGCCAGATCCCAGCTAATTCAAGAAATAGCTTTTAATGACTTGATATTCTCCACCCTACTAAAGGATTCCTTTATCATTCTCATGTCTCATTTTCCTCCAGACACTACGTACTTTCTTGGCATCATGTCAAAGGTACCTGGAACTGCTGGAGGTTCCGACCAGCAGTAACATAATCCACAGGAGCCTTTTTTTATCTCTGTCTTCTCAGCTCGCTGTAGCTGCTGCACCTTTGCATTATCGCCTGACGCAAGGACAACTACATCAGCGCATGTCCATAAAAGAGCTACAGGTACAGGAGAATGCCGTGCATTGCTGTATATGCATATTGAATTCCCTGCAATAATAAACATTTCTTTATATAAATGCTCCCACAGAGCCAGGCCCCTGCTATTGATTGGTTGGGCTGTCTGCAGGCTGTTTTCCATCCACTGCCCCTAACCGAAGACGATCATGTCCTCCTGCATAACTTACACTACATTGTGCAAATGTCCCCCATCATTGAAAGATGGCTGAACAAGCATGAGCTGAGCACCAGGTACTGTAAGTGATGCAAAACAACCTATAATCAGATATACTTAACCCCCTTCCTTTTTATACTATATCTTTTTTTTTTTTACCCTTTTCTGCCTCATTTGATTGCACTCAGTGGTCCTCTTCACACTTATATGGTCCTGAATCTGCTGCACACCCTGATGCCTGCCCTGGACTCCAGATTTTCTAAAACAGCAAAAAATTTATCTGTGGCTCTAGGAAACACGGAAGAGGTGTGTCAACATTTTGGAAAAAAAGAAGTAGAAAAAATAAGCTTATGAATTGATTTGTTTGAGTCATGTGTTCCTTGTTTGGTTCTTCAGCAGGTAGTTCCTCGCTGGAAACACTGTATTTTGGAGACTGAGCGAGGATTTGACTCAGTCTTTACACACCTTCTCAATGAAAGAACAGCACACAAAGAGGTGAAGCAAGATTGTGTGGATTCAGGATCTGTGTGATGTTTCATCCAAGATTTAATTTACAAGACTGATATAAAGAATATTGCATGCCCACACACACACACACACACACACACATATATACGTATATATA